AGCCCCAGTGTATTTGGCTGGCCCCCTAACCACTGAGCTACAGGCATCACACAGCTGATAATATTTTTATGTACACATTGAGCATAAATTTTATTTATTCTTTTTTTCTTTGAGACAGGATCTCAAGCTGTAGCCCTGGGTAGAGTGCCATGGCATCACAGCTCACAGCAACCTCAAACTCCTGGGCTTAAGCGATTTTCTTGCCTCAGCCTCCAGAGTAACTGGGACTACAGGTGCCTACCACAACACCCAGCTATGTTGTTGTTGTTGTTGTTGTTTTAGCTGGCCCCGGCTGGGTTCAAACCTACCAGCCTCAGTGTATATGGTGGGCCCTACCTGATGAGCTACAGGTGCCACTGGTGAGCATACATTTTAAAAGTTCAGAGAGGTATCAAGGAAAAAGTTGGCTAGTCGCTCATAGCTCTGTGGTTAGGGCTCCGCCATATACACCAAAGCTGGCGGGTTCAAACCTGGCAGGGGCTAGCTAAACTACAATGACAACTACAACCAAAAAACTAGCCAGGCGTTGTGATGGGTGCCTGTAGTCCCAGATACTCGGGAGACTGAGGCAAGAGAATCACTTAAGCCAAAGAGTTTGAGGTTGTTAAGAGCTGTGAGGCCATAGCACTCTACCAAGGGCAACATAGTAAGACACTGTCTCAAAAAAAAAAGGAAAGAAAAGAAAAGAAAGAAAGGAAAGGGAAAGCTACCCTTTAGCACAACCAAATTCTTCTCATTAGGAACAGCCACTATGATTAGTTTTCTTATGTGAAATTCCAGAAAATTATTTTAAAACCAGTGCATAAATATCAAAACACACATATCCTTTTTTTATTAATACCAAAAGGAATCCTACCACTCTCTTGGTACCTGCTAATAGAAAACTATTTACATATTTAAAATAATACTTCTCTTTATTGAAGTATTCTACCTAATACATGAAGGAGGAGTAATAGAATATCCTCATTTTGCAATCTCTAATGAGTTCATGGATCTAAGTATTGAGAATCAACCACTGAGGTCATCACAAGACAAGAAGCAGATAGACATTATGTGTCTACCTATGAAGGTAGTCTTGCCAGGGGGTGAAAGAAAAAAGAGCCTAAATCTAATGAAGCCACTACCAATTTAAAGAAAACACAGAGGAGAGAGGATTATAATAAACTACTTTGAGAGGAAGCAATCAGCAAAATCCAGACTAGAAAGTTGCTAGAAAAACAGCCCCATTTCTTCAACAAAGGAAATTACTAAAAAACGAGATAAACAGGAAACATATTAAAGGAGAGTTAAGACATATTAATCTTATCACTCTGTCCTATAAAAAAAGAAAAAAAAAGGATGATAATAATAGAACCTATTTTAAAAGGTGGCTATGGAGATTAAATGAGGTAATTCATGTAAACCACTAAGTAGAGGACCAGGTAGTTAATGAAAGTAATTATAATATTATTATAACAATTACTATCATTAACCCCAATATAAGCAAATGTTCAAAGAGGTCTGAGTAGGACAAAGAAGTGATCAAAGTGGGTCTTTAGGAGGATTGATCTCGCCATAACTGAGTATTTCCCTTCCAAAGTTAAAATACTAGAATCTACCTGATCTACCGCCTTCCTCACTATGTAACTTCTTTCCTAGTGAACATCATGTCCAGAAGGAGCCCCACAACCAGCCACTAAGGCCCTCTCGAGTTAGTGAAAGGGGGTGATCCCTACCACTGTTAGGGCAAGGTGAACTGAGGGGCACTACAGCCTCTGGGCTGGAGAATCAGAGGCCCAAGGTGTTCTGCCACTACCACTTGGGGTTTATACCCAGGGTGCAGATAAGACAAGGGAATTTTCTTTTAGCTCTAAAGCATATTCTCTCAAAAAAATCCAGGCCAGGGGTCCAGGTTTTTAGACTGTGACCCTACTTTTCCCAAATCACTTAAGCACTAAACCAAGAACTTATTCTCTGAAAGAGTAGAACGGCCACTCTCCTTATCTGTATGATGGGAAATAATTACAGTTCCTATTTCATAAGTTTATTGTGAGAATTAAGTAAGTCCGTAAGCATAAAGGGCCTAGAACACTGCCCGGCACATAGCAAGTGTTCTGTTGGTATCAACGAAACTTTACTATGAACTTTATTTCTTCCATCCTGTGGGTCTTGCTTATTTGTGGTCATATATTTTTCAACTGATAAAGAGTGGCTTTGTAACAGACTATTTCACCCTAGAGCACCTCTGGGGTAGCAGTTGGGCTGGGTTTATAAACACTCATCCTCCAGGTCAGAGGCATCCAGCTTTTCCACAGACCCAGCAGTAATTTTATCTGTTGTTTCATTTAGTGGGAAAATATATTACAAATAAAAGAATCCAGCAAAGCTTTTAAATTTATTGGCAAATTCACTAATAACAATATCTACACACATCTGAAAACACACATGTAGGAGAGATAAGATTTATTCAGTCTAGAGCTCATTTGGATTCATGAAACCCTGCAGTCAACTCCAGAATCGCTTTGCCCAAAGCATGGTGGAGTAACTGATCCAACCGTCAGTGTCTTCCTTGGCAAAATCAAGGCCTGGACAGAAAATTCAATATTCTTTAATTACATTTTTAAAAACTAAAATACAATTATCCAGAAACTGAAGATACACGGGTAAACCAATCACTTACCGTCTCTCAGCCTCATTTGTAAAAGGACTATTAACTCTGCAGCCCTGCTCATTTTGCAGGGCTTTCTGAAAAGCAAAGGAAGTGAGGAGTGTAAATTAAAAGCTCATGTCAGTGGGGAACAAAGAATCAGGATGGGGTGGGGGAGTAAGAAAAGGACGAGGACAAAGTCTCTTTCCAGTGACCAACACGCTGAATTTGATGAAAATCCACAGTTTACACTAAACTCATACCATTGCCACCTCCCCTTTGACGTTAAGAAGAACATTAACACGGCTCCCTCCCAGCTGTTGTACTAGAGTGACTAAGGATAGATTTGGGGAAGGAGTTCCAAAGATATTTCCACCTTCACCCTGTCTTCACACACATTTAATAGAAATAAACAGCACCCACCCAATTATCCACAGAAGTGATTAAAAAGGGGGTGGGGCCTAGCACTACAGGAAGCTGAGGCGGGAGGATTCCTGGAGGTCAGGCGTTCCAGACTAGCCTGAGCAAGAGGGAGACTCTTCGCCCGTTTCCACAAAAACTTAGAAAAATTATCCAGGCCTGGCAGCCCGAGTCTGCAGTCTCAGGTCCTCAGGAAGCGGAGGTAGGAGGATCACTTGAACCCAGGAATTTGAGGTTGCTGTGAGCTATGATCTCACTTCACTCTAGCCCAGGCGATCGAGACCTTGTCTTAAAAGGAGAGGAGAGCAGGAAAATAGAGTTGAATAAGTCGGTATTTAAGTGTCCACTGTGTCAGGCACTGATTAGCCCTGAAGATAACCAACCGAGAAAAATCTGTCTAGGGCTTGAGAAGGACCATAAACAAGAAAGCAGTTTCAGTTGGTACGAGGGAAATAAACAGTGAGACTGGCAGCAACTAGAGGCGCGAATTCCGGAGTGGATAACGTGGGAAAGCGTATTCTGAAACCAGAACTGACAGTTAACTTTTGAACCCAGTTCTAAATGACGAGAACCTTGCAATGCCCAGAGCATTGCAGAGAAAATTAAATGCAAAAACTATCCACAAACTGAGAAACATTAGAGATTTCAAAACCCCAAAGTGAACAGCGGAAACTGAAATCCACGAATTACTGAGCAGCAAAGAATTTTGAAATTCGTGTTGCCCAATCAGGAAAAAGCTGGGGCCCGGCTGCGCGGGCTCCGCCCGAAGTTCACAGACGGTTGGTTTCCGCAGGACGCCACACACAAGCTGCCGCCAAGCGTTCGTGGGACCGGGTTTAGTTATGTCCTGGAGTCCTCTCTTAAATTATAGCTTAAATGTCATTCCGTATTTTAAATGAAACATCCCCAACAAAGCCACCAGGACGCCAACAGTATGGGACGGGGTTAAAGGACAGGACAAACACCCTAACTTTGAACTGACCCCTAACGAAAGCAGCGCAACACAAAGCAAAGCCGCACTATAAACTCAAAAGCAAATCCAGTCCTGTGCCTGAAACCTGGAGTTCCAGATAGTTTAAAATCTGTATGGGATATCTTCCGTGACATTTCGACTATAATATTTAAAAAACTAAAGCAGTAAGATTAAAGAGCGAAATAGAGTAAACGTAAGTGAACAAAGCTCTTTTCTGGTGATTAGATGGGTGGCTCTGAAAAGAGCCTTTGGAGTAAAGTGGCCGGCGATTCGGGCGAGCGCCACGTCCCAGCAGGGGCTCACTTGGAGCTGGTGTACTTGGTGACCGCCTTGGTGCCCTCGGACACGGCGTGCTTGGCCAGCTCGCCGGGCAGCAGCAGGCGCACGGCCGTCTGGATCTCGCGGGACGTGATGGTGGAGCGCTTGTTGTAATGGGCCAGGCGGGACGCCTCCCCGGCGATGCGCTCGAAGATGTCGTTGACGAAGGAGTTCATGATGCCCATGGCCTTGGAGGAGATGCCGGTGTCGGGGTGGACCTGCTTCAGCACCTTGTACACGTAGATGGAATAGCTCTCTTTGCGGCTGCGCTTGCGCTTCTTACCATCCTTTTTCTGGGCTTTGGTGACCGCTTTCTTAGAGCCCTTCTTAGGAGCAGGAGCAGATTTTGCCGGCTCAGGCATGTTTACACACGAAATAAACACAGCTTAGCAAAGAAAAGAAGTAGGAGAATGGGCGGGCCTGATCCTTTTATAACCACCTTATGCAAATTAGGGCTCCAAAAACCTTTCATTTCTATTGGTCCATGTAGGGGACCTTGCGTTTTCAGCAATAACTACGTAACAGTACTGACTCTTGATTTGATTGGTCTTTTCTGGAGCCAAATTAGGACCAATGGAAAACTCGTCCCTGACCCCACCCCTACAAGAGCTTATAAAGGCTTTCTTGTCGATTAGCTTTCAATCTTGTTTTGTTGCGAGGTTCAGAGCTTTATCTGTAACTATGTCTGGCCGCGGAAAGCAGGGAGGCAAAGCCCGTGCCAAGGCAAAGTCGCGCTCATCCCGCGCTGGCCTTCAGTTTCCAGTGGGGCGAGTGCACCGCTTGTTGCGCAAAGGCAACTACGCCGAGCGAGTTGGCGCCGGCGCGCCTGTCTATATGGCGGCGGTCCTTGAGTACCTAACAGCCGAAATCCTGGAGTTGGCTGGTAACGCAGCCCGGGACAACAAGAAGACGCGCATCATCCCCCGTCACCTCCAGCTGGCCATCCGCAACGACGAGGAGCTGAACAAGCTATTGGGCAAGGTTACCATCGCCCAGGGCGGCGTCTTGCCTAACATCCAGGCCGTTCTATTACCAAAGAAAACTGAAAGCCACAAAGCCAAAAGTAAATAAACCCAGACAAACTAAACCAAAGGCTCTTTTTAGAGCCACCCAAGCTTTCAAAAAAAGAGCTACTGCGCTGTTTCGTGATCAGCCCTTCATTTGCCACTTTGGTGGCTCTTAAAAGAGCCTTTGGGGGTAGCGTACATTAAGCCTCCTGGTTATTAATTGTTCTTGCCAGGCTTGTGACTCTCCGTTTTCTTGGGCAACAAAACAGCTTGGATATTGGGCAAGACGCCACCCTGGGCAATAGTGACACCCCCAAGTAACTTATTGAGTTCTTCGTCATTTCTCACAGCTAGTTGCAGATGGCGAGGGATGATTCGCGTCTTCTTGTTGTCCCGGGCTGCGTTCCCCGCCAACTCCAGGATTTCCGCCGTCAGGTACTCGATCACAGCCGCCAAGTACACCGGTGCCCCGGCCCCTACCCGCTCAGCATAGTTGCCTTTACGCAGCAAGCGGTGCACTCGCCCCACTGGGAACTGAAGGCCAGCACGGGATGAGCGGGACTTGGCCTTGGCGCGGGCTTTGCCGCCTTGCTTTCCGCGTCCTGACATTACGGCTAAAAATGCAGTTACAGCTTCTTTTTCAAGGAGAGGGATGTGGAAAGGATAACCAATTTGATGTAATTTATAAGAGGTCCCGGGAGGGGTGAGGGAACTGGTTTGATTGGCTAAAAGCGAAGCCAAATCAAACAGCCAATAGCAAAGCAGAAAGCAGACTCTTGGTTTGCATTCTGCACTAAGAGGAAATGACGGATTTTGTAAGTTCCTACCAATCGCAGAGAGCCACATTAAAACGCCTTATTTGCATGCCAGGATTTTTAAAGAGGTTTTCGATCAAAAGGCTGTTTCCTTTTTACTTGGTTGCACTTTGTTTTTTGTCTCCTTTAGGCCAGGGAAAGCCCAAGAAGGATCCTGAAGGACAGCAAAGGACATCATCAAGTACACGGATAGTTAGTCTCATTAGAGGGTATGGGATTCTGACGCTGATTATTACCTTCAGCCCTAAATTACCCTCCCAAATCCTATTTGTCCTGCCTCGTCACAGCCAAACTCCCTTAAAGAATACACGACTGCCTCTTTTCCTCTCAATGCAGTCTCTGGTTGCAGTGGGGCTTCGGCCCACCCGCATTTGCCTGCGCTCCTCGGAATGGGGTTTGACGAAGACTAGAAAAGGTTTACCATCTTCCTTTTGGCCTCCAGGAGGCGTCTGATGCCACCTTGAAACTCGCTTCCTTGTCTTTCAAAATGTTGCCTTCCGTTTTGCTTCCTGCCTCTCGGACTTTCCTTACCCTGCTCGCATTCTTGCCCCATGCCTATATCCGCGACTCTAGCAGGACTCTGCTTCCTTATCTCCAATACTTCACTCTTCCCGAAGTCTTATACTTCCATGCTTTAAACTTTCTCTTTGACTTTTGATCTCTTTACTTCTATCACAGTGCCTTGTGCTGTGAGGAAGGGGGAAGGAAAATTATGTTGAACCTTTAGTATGTGATAAATGTTATGCTAATGAGTGCCTACAAAGTGGATTTAATTATGAATTTCATGGATAAACAAGCTCAGAAAGATTCAGACACTTACTGAAGGTCACAGAGCTACTTAAGACATGATTAGAACCCAGGTCTGCCTGACTCAAAGAACATGCTTTTCACCATATTTATACTCTTTAACTAATAACTAGGTAATTATTAGTGTTAAATGAGGTCGTTTAATTTATCCAGCCTTACTTTCTTCTCTGAAGGAAAGAAAGAAAATTAAGTTTAATGATTTAGAGTCCATGTAAAACCTTCTTAAATGAGTTAGATGAGGCCTTCAGTACTCCCGCACAAACAGCCTTGGTGAATCCATGTCTCTGTGTTCATATCCTGGCAATAGCACTTATCACCCTGTACTGAGCTTTAATATTGCTCTCACCTCCTTTCTGTAAGCACCTCATGGGAGAGACCATGTCTTCCTTATATTTGAATCAAGAGTTGACTCTGCCAAGCACAGTAGCGCACCCCTACAATCCTAACACTTTGGAAGGCTGAAGGGGGAGGATTGCTAGAGGCCAGGGATTCCAGACCAGTCTGAGCAACATAGTGAAACCCCATCCCTACAGAAAATAGAAAAATTAGCCAGGTGGCACAAGCTGATAATCCAGCTACTCAGGAGGCTGAGTCAGGAGGATCACTTGAGCCCAGGAGTTTCGCTGTACTGCACTCTAGCCTGGGTGACAGAGCCAAACTGTCTCCAAAAATAAATAATTTGTGGCTCAAGTGGCTAAGGCGCCAGCCACATACACCTAAGGTGGCGGGTTTGAATCCAGCCCGGGCCCGCCAAACAACAATAATGGCTGCAACCAAAAAATAGCCGGGCATTGTGGCTGGCGCCTGTGGTCCCAGCTACTTGGGAGGCTGAGGCAGGAGACTCGCTTGAGCCCAGGAGTTGGAGGTTGCTGTGAGCAGTGAAGACATGGTACTCTACCCAGGGGGACAGCCTGAGGCTCTGTCTCAAAAAAATAAATAAATAAATAAATAATTTGTGATTCTTTTTACCTGGCTCTTAATAGTTAAATGATTTTGGCACAAATAAATGAAACAATACTCTTAGAGAATTAGCATTTTCTTTCCTAAAATACTTATTTTTCATCAACGCACACTAAATGCCAATCATAAATAATAGACTATGATAAACAGAATGATGGAAGATATAATAGAATCTCATCAATTAAATAAAATAATATATTCTACCACAGTGGAATTGTTAGAATAAGTGAGAATAAATGTAAAGATCCTAATACAGAGCCAGGAAACTGAGAGGCCCCAAAGCTGGATTAGGAGGTTGGGACAGTTAATTTTATGTCAACTTGACTGAGCCCAGATAGCTAGTAAAGCATTATTTCAGGGTATCTCTGTGAGAGTGCTTCTCATCACCCTCACTATATAAGGTGGGCATCATCCAATCCATTAAGGGCCTCCTGGAGGAAGGGCAAGTTTGCTCTTGGCTTGACAGGGGACATCCATCTTTTCCTGTCCTTGGATGTTGCTGCTCCTGCCCTGAGGTCTTCAACCTCAGACCAGGACACACAATATCAGGCCCCAGTTCTTGGACCTTTGGATTCATACTGGGACTTACACCAGTGGCTCCTCTGACCTTCAGATTTTGGCTAGAATCACACCGCCAGCTTTGCTGGTTTTATAGACAACAGACTGTGGAACTTCTCAGCCTCCGTGATTTTCATGAGCCAGTCCCTCATAATAAATCATATACATCTCCAATTCATTCTGGGTTCTCTGCAAGACCCTGACTAACAGAAGCACAATAGCTTGCTTATTAAGAGCCAAGGTCTGCAGCCTGACTCACTGTGTTTGTTTACCAGACCTGGTACCACTGGCAAGTTACCTAATGTTGAAGGGTCTCTGCTTCCTTGGTAAAGCAAGAATAATAATAGTACCTACTTTGTGGAGCTGTTGTAAATTAAAAAGAGTTCATGGATGTTAAATATTTAGAACAATGCCAGGCACCAAAAAAGCAGGGTCATCCTCAAAATTGTTTGAATACATTTGCCATTTCAAAAATAAATATTGAATATATCCTATGACCTAGCAATTCTACTCCTGGATATATTCCAGACAGAAATAAATGTTTATGACTGATAAAAAGCATGTACAAGTGGTTGGTGCCTATGGCTCAAAGAGTAGGGTGCAAGCCCCATATGCCAGAGGTGGCGAGTTCAAACCTGGCCCTGGCCAAAAACTACAAGAAAAAAAAAAAAGCATGTACAAGAAAGTAATGTATTAATATACTGCAATGCCATACAACAAATTGTTACCAATATGGGTGAAACTCACAGATACATTGTTGAGCCAAAGAAGACAAACATGAATAAATTCACACTGTTTATGTGAGTTCAAAACAGGCAAAATCTGGGAGGCCAAGGTGGGAAGATCAGGTGAGGCCAGAACTTTGAAACCAGCCTAACCAGGAGTAAGACCTCATCTCTACCAAAAATAAAAAATTAGGGTGGCACCCATAGCTCAGTGGGTTAGGGCGCTGGCCACATAAACCAAGGCTAGGTTTGAACCCAGCCTGGGCCTGCTGAAACAACAGTGACAACTGCAACACAAAAATAGCTGGGCATTGTGGTGGGTGCCTGTCGTCCCAGGTACTTGGGAGGCTGAAGCAAGAGAATCGCTTAAGCCCAAGAGTGGGAGGTTGCTGTGAGCCGTGATGTCACTGCAGTCTACCAAGGGCAACAAGTAAGACTCTGTCTCAAAAAAAATAAAGATAAAATAAAATTAGATAGGTAGGCCAGGCACGGTGGCTCACACCTATAATCTTAGCACTTGGGAGGCCGAGGCAGGTGGATTGACTGAGCTCAGGAGTTCGAGACCAGCCTGAGCCAAAGCAAGACCTCATCTCTGAAAATAGCCAGGCATTATGGTGGGTACCTGTGGTCCCAGCTACTTGGGAAGCTGAGGCAAGAGAATCACTTGAACCCAAGAGTTGAAGGTTTCTGTGAGCGATGGCTCCACAGCACTCTACTGAGGGTGACAAAAACTCTGTCTCAAAAAAAAAAAAAAAATTAGCCAGGCATAGTGGTACACACCTGTAGTCTGAGCTACTCCAGAGGCTGAGGTGGGACAGAGCAGGACTCTGTTTGGGGTTAGGGGAGACAGGTACAACTAATCTATGATGTTAAAGAAAGGTTAGGGACAGGGTTGTATTAACTTCCCTGGGAGAATTCCAAGGTTCTGGATATTTTCTATATCTTGACATGATGTATTCATATGTAAAATTAAGACATACATTTAAGATATGTAAATTTCTTATGTATGAATTGTGCCTCAATAAGTACAAATTTTCTTTTTAAATGAACAAATATTAAAGTAATCATCATTGGGAAAGTAATGAGTACTTTGTTCTATATACCAATCTTCGTGTTACAGATGAGTGTTTTTTGTTGGTTTTTTTTTTGGAGACAGACTCTCACTTTGTCATAACAAGTAGCCTACAGGCACCCACCACAATGCCCGGCTATTTTTTAGAGATGAGGTCTCACTCTGGCTAAGGCTGGTCTGAAACCTGTGAGCTCAGTCGATCCACCTGCCCTGGCGTCCCAGAGTTCTAGGATTACAGGTGTGAACCACTGTGCGCAGCCTACAGATAAATGTTTTGTTGTTGTTCTTTTGTTTTGTTTTGTTTTGTTTTGTTTTACCCAAAACACCAAGACTTTAATTGGATTAGAATTATACCTATAAGGACTATAAGCACCTATTCCTTCTGAGGGGCACTTGCCATCTGTGTAAGCATTCCACCTCTCCTCAGACTGGTTATCTAGATGTCCCAAGCATGGTCACATCAGCATCAATGTCCAAGCATACTCAGGGCTCAGAATTCCAGGGCAATACCATCTTTTCCTCCACTCTCTTATATTCCAACAAGGGTCATGCAGACAGCAGGTAAGTCTCCCCTCCCCACCCCTCACCAAACACTGGAAACCCCTGCTGGACCTGTTTATACTATTCCTTCGCAGCCCCTTTCTTCTGGAAGGCAGTCGGGATGTTTAAGCTCTTCTGGAGCTCCTCCTTCTTC